TGTTCTTCTACCAGATGTCCTTCGTGTTCCTGTGACATTTCAACCATGGCAAGGGACTCATACCTTTAAAACATTTTTTAACTTTGATATGAGACAACATCATCTCGACCCTTGTAGAAGAGCGGTTGTGTTTCATTTGGATCGAGTGTACTCACAGAGAGAGGGGATTACGAGTGTTTATAGAATCATGGAAACACACAATTGCACATTTGGTATGACTTCTCCAAGGAGAATCCAAGAGATCAAGGTGTATTCACAAAAATTAAATCTCGACTTGAAACAAGTAAGATTTTTCTTGACTGATTGCCTTATATTTCGTGCCACATACAAGAAAATATCAATGAATGTACTCAAAATTAAAGGACTAAATGCAAGAAAAATAACATACTTTCTATTATTTGTTTACTAATACATCTTATTTTCATTTCTTATTATTTGAGCATCCTATTTTAATTATTTTTCTTATTAAATCATTATGTTTTGAAAAATCCATCGAATTACAACTTTGTACTATTAGATTTTTTTTTTGGTTAGTGTCATTTATGGATAACAAATTATTGTTTCTTAACAAAACACACATGTTTAAAGAAGAATTATCACAAGGTAAGAAAATGAAACGTTTTGTTCATAAAATAACCATTAAAATAAGGGTATTTTGTGAACAAAATATTCTAGTTGCTTATTTAAAACAATGATATTTTTGTGCAGCTAAAATAGTATGTTAACAACTCATAACATTAACACTAACCATTTTCATTTTATAAAGACATTTTACTTTAAAAATACTATGTACCCAATCATAATAGTGAATTTTTTTTTTTTAATTCGGATGACATTGTTATAATTTGGTAATTTTTTCAAAGAACAATTTTATAATATGAAGAAATAAAAATAAGATGCTATAATAAACAATTAATAAAATATTCAACCTAATTAAAAAAAAATGCATGTTTGAATTTAAAGGGTCAAAAGTTGTCTACAAATCACGATTATAATGTATTAATGTTTTATGTTTTTTTTTGGGAAACAGTTGCAGGCGCCTAGACGACAATGTTGTGATATATTGCCTTCATCGTCAGAAAAATTAATGGAAATCAACATTAGGGCATGTCATGAAGAGGAACTAGTATATAAGCGACCATAACATCAATCATCATTCATTGAAGAGAACAATGTTCAGTGGTAAGTCATGTACATATACATCGAAGAATAGTGAACATGTGTTTGACAAACAACAACGAGCCTTTGACCCTCAAAATACGTTCAACATTCAAAATTAGGTGATGCTGTTGTATACAAGTCATGGACTCGTTTAGATAAGTCTCTAAAAGGATTTTTTTCATTTAATGAATAGATTTGTTTGAATACAACTTTAGTTGTGAGGTCATTTAATTAGAATCGGTTGTTACAACTACATGAATCAATGAGATTTATGATACTTAAAGAAATTGGTTCATACACAACAATTATTCTTTATGTATAATAATTTATGTTTTATAGAGTTCTTTCATACAACATTTTAAAGCGTAAATTGTAGTATATGGATAAAATTTGTTGCGTATGAATCAACTCTTATACGTAAAACGAAATGAGCTTGGTTCAATACAACAAAAAACATTTTTTTGGTTTAATTAAAAGTAGAAACAAAAACCTTTTTTTTTTTGTTTTAAGAAACAAAAACCATATAATTCTTATTTTTCTATTTGAATTTTTTGGTTTTTAGGTTCCATAAGATCAATTTTGTTTTTTGTTTATTTTATTAAGTTTTGTAGGTTTTGTCTGTTTTCATTATTTCAATTATTAGGTTATTAGGTTTTTTCTACAATTTTTTTGTTTGTATTTTTACATTAATCGTATCAATAAAAGAATAATATTTTTAAAATATACAAGGAAAAGGTAGTGACATGAACAAACAAGAAAATCATAGATGTAAACAGACACAATATTTAATATAGTTCGGTCAGTGTGACCTACATCCATATGTAGGATGTAGTAGTATTATATTCATGAGATTGAAAACGGTAATACAATACAATTGAAAACTCTAGCTATCAGTCGTTGCATATAGAAAAAGTACACACATTACCCTAACTAGAATATGGTCACGACCCCGCACCCCATGGTATAAGTGTTTGTCGTGTACGACTTAGGATCGGTACAAACACTTATCTTGTTAATATTTGATGCGGTGTTTCTTCACTTTGTTCGCACATGTTGATATCCATTCAATTATTAGTTTTCAAGTTACATTTAACATGTATGGTGCCATTTTTCTCTTTTACTAAAAAAATCAACTCAAGTGAGTATGATAAATAAACGTGGATAGTAAAAACTTTATAATATTCTTGAAATTGACTAATAACCCTAATTTGATATATCCTAACAAAATCCTTACAAATAATTTTTTTGCTCTCTAAAATTCACCAATAAACAAACAATTGCAAATTTTTTCTCACAAGATCAATACTGATAAATACAGAATAACATTCATGTATAGTGATTAGAAATGAATCTTTAATTATGAGAGACAATATTATACACTAGCTTTTGCACCAATAGAAAATATGTCCAATTCATGATATATTGTTTTTTAACCGACCCAAATTTATTACTACTAGCTAAAAGCTCTCAATTTTATTGCTGCTAGCAAGAAGTTAGAAAAAAAAAGAACAATTGCATAGTAGTAGCTAATATTGAGTTCTGTAACCAAGCATCCTAAGAAGTTCAAGCATTGTTTGGACTTGGTGAATGTTCGAATAATATAAGTCCTTCCGAAAAACCGACAGGAAGGAGATGACTCTTAAGAATCCTTGATAATGGAATACATTTGAAGCTAATGTGAAGATTGTTAGAGTATGACTTGGATTTTGGTGACCCGGATAAGTAACTCAACCCGAACAAAGTGAAGAAACTTGAATGAATATTTTAAATTGATAAGTGTTTGGAGTAGGGTGATGGCCTTTAGGACCCATTTAGTTATTCCATATGTACTTGTATATGGGCTCGACCCAAAACTTGTAAGGGTTTATGATTATAAGTGTTTGTCTCTAAGAATTCCAATGTAATAACTATGAAAACAATTGAGATTAACAGAAGAGTTCTTCGGTTTCAAGAAACACAATAATTTTTTCTTAATTAAAAATCAACAACAGATTCATATGAAGCAACAAGAGTTGTTTTCACGAGGATCCAAATTTTGGATCCTACATATGCCTTGTAAATCATAGTTCTTCTCATTAGGGCATCTAATCCAAAACACTAAAAAGTTTAATAACATTCCATTATCTATATAGTTTTCTCTTTAAACATCCCCAATCTATTAAACCTTATAAAATACTTTTATGGAGTAATGTAGAAAACAAGAAAAACCAAAAACACACAAGACATAGTATTTACATGGTTCAGTCAAGGTGACCTGTGTCTATAGGCAAGAGGGGAGTATTTTTTTTATTTATGAGCTCTCAAATGGAGGTGACAGGTACAACTCAACAGAGATTCGTCTATCACTCTAGAATTTAAGACACTTTGAAATGACTAGCAGGCATCCCTATTTATAGAGAAGGGATCAGACCTAAAACACTAATTGCCCAAGCCTATTGGCCCATAGACCCATGAAGGGTGTCAACCAATCACAATCCAACATGCAGTAGCTTTTGGAACATTCATCCTTGATATGCATTGCATGAGCATTAACAACACACGTGATGGATCACCATGAGCCATATTGGAGTATTATGATGCACAAGTGGCACATCATGAACATTAGTGGCGCATCTACCATCATTTGGCGCATCATGGTGTATTCATTAAGCATATTAAACTTCCGAGCAACCTTAAACAATCTAGAGTATCATAGAGGACATCATAGTATAAGTGGCACATAAAGATACCATGGCTCATCAAGGAACCAAATGTCGCACCTTGCACCCAAGATGGTACATCAAGCAAGATGATGACGCATCTTATGCAAGGAATGACACATCATCTCCAAGGATAACACACCCTCCTCTCACATGGCGTATTACGCTTCCAATATGGCGCATTGATAGTTCCACACACACACACACACACACACACATATATATATATATATATATATATATATATATATAAAAGAAATCTAACTATTTCTAAAAATAGTTTGAATATAATAATAATATATTTTTAAGACGTCCAAACCATTAAGCTAACGGTACAAGTAATCAATAATAAAATAATATTATTTTTCAAATAGTCCTAGCTGAAGTTACAACTACATGATTTCTTTATCTTTTATTGACTTTTGACCCGTAAGTTTAATCCCACGCTGAACTTATATCTCGGCTATAATTACTCTAATCTGGCCCATCTTTCCCGTCGCTGAACTTTTCTACTTTACCCTACTTCAAATGTTGATCGAACGTAAGATTACAGTTCTTCCTCTCAAAACCCTAGACTACCACTTCGTCTACATCGTTGCACCCAAATAACCAGATGTTTTCCCCCACCACCAATGTGCCACCATTCTGTCTCCGCCTTCGCACCATTCATATACAAACACCAACAACAATCATACGAAATTACAAAACTGTCGTCTCCTGTTTTCATCGCTGCAACGCTACATCTCTATCAATCTTTCTCCCTCTCCAAATCAATAATGTTTCACTTTCACTTACTCCTCTGTATCTTCTCTATGCACAATTACGACATTTATTCTTTCCTTTTCATGAGGTTTCAAATGGTAGTTGGAACATATGATATTGATTTTTTGCTATATGCTTTATTTTAAACTGTATGTATTGGATATATTTATTGTGTGTTTCACTATGTGTGTGTCAGTTTAACAGAAAAAATCCAAAACGAAGGAACATGAAGCACAAATTTTTGGCTAAGCTTTGGTGGGAAACAAAGATTCACTATCAGACTTTAAGATATGCTTATTTTCTTGCATCCTCACTCTATAAAGGTTTGATAACAATATCAGTTTTGGTTTTACATGTCTTAGAAGAGACTAATTCCCTCTAACTATATATTGTTACCATTTTTGTTTTTTGGTGATTTTCCAGGAAAGTTTGGGTTGATATGAAATTCTGTTATTAGGCACGTATAAGAAAATTACAAGCTTGGATATTTTTTTGTTGTGGGTATGCAACCACTCCCCTCTTTTTTATCTTTGGCTTTATATGAGAAATTATGTTATTTTTGTGGGTTTGGTTTTGACTTGGATTTATCTATCCTCATCCACCATTGGGAAAACGAAACAAGATTATTTATTCAATTATTGATTTGACTTTGAGCTCATATAATGTTAATATCATGAATGGATAAGTTCTAATGTGGACAAGAATAGCTATATCTTATGTCCCATGATCTATTTATATGGTGAGATTTGCTTAAAGTTCTTATATTTTGTTTCTTTCAATGGTATTTAAGTCCTTCCAAATTTTTTTTACAGATAAAGAGGTGGATCATTTCTTTTCAGGGACTTAAACGTTGAAAGCCGTGAGATGTGAATTTGGTGGTAGTTTACCATGAATAGAAAGCATGTTCTTTAATTTACATTTTCTTTTACCAAAAACTGTGCTTATTGACTCAAATCAAGCTTTTGTCATGATGTTTCATGTTAAAGACTTCAAAAAAGAAATTTCACCACAACGGTTGCCCAAAGTCACCTAACAGAATCACAAAAAAATGTCCAGAAAAGTTATCCTAAAATTAGCATTTTCTTGGCAGCCTTTTTGTTGATATAACACACAACAAACTCTATTTTTTGTTTATTATTGCATCATATTTGAAAATTTTGGTTGCTATTTTAAAGTATAATGTTTCATTTCTTCTTAATTTATCTCTTCATTATTTATTACTGTTTTAATTGATTCCTTTTCTGATTTTCTGTAGGTGGTGGGTTGGATAAAAGCATCCTGTTGATCGATTTCATCATGTTGATCACCAAACCTAATTGCAAGTAGGTGCATATTTATTGTAAGTATTGACTATTAACATATATTCTTAATTGTATTTCGAAAATTGAAAGTTGGTTTATGTTATAAAGTTTCTTAACCATTACATGTATAGAAACTAATGTTAGTTTTTAAAAAAAATCCATAGTTTTGCTCCAAAATAGTAACCAACTTCAATTTCTTAATTTATTTAACATCATACTTT